TATATATATATATTTATAAATATAAATAAGAGCGCTGAGAGAGGCGGCTTTGTCCCTCCACTATCAAGAAGTTTGTGAGTGTCTGTGCCGCATGTTGATCTCGTTGAGGACCACATCCATATTTGAGTCTTCATCTGCTGTGATTACTCTGTCTGCATATGGGCTACCTGTAAAACAGTGCTACTGTCATTATTTCAAAAAGGGAAATTGATATATTCTAAGAGTTGCAGCAATGACAGAAGAAACGCAAAAATGTCAGTTCCTACCGATCCCATCACTCTGTTCTGAAATGTCACTGTTGAGGAAAGAGGAGCTGGAAGAGTTATTGCCACGTGAGGTACTGGAATGAAGAGATGTGTTGTTGGTCAGCGATGACTTCTTTGCCGTCTTCTGTGTTGCAGTGCGACTCCATTCTGTTAAAAAAAAGACCCACATGATGAAGGTAAACGTGATTGTGAATTGCAATTATCGCACAGTCCATCCATTCTCTTCCGCTGGAGCCTATCCCAGCTGTCTTAGGGCAGGAGGCAGGGTACGGACAGGTCACCAGTCTGTTGCATGACTAACACATAGAGACAGGCAACCATTTGAACTCACATTCACCTATGGACAAGTTAGAATTACCAATTCAGCTAACCCCACTAACTGCATGTCTACGTGTACCCGGATAGAACCCACGCAATCCCACAGTCGATAAACTTATTTCTTAAATGAAACCAAATAAAGGAGTAACCTTCACCAGTTTGAGGCACACAGTATAAAACGAACACCGCTAACCTGAGTTCTCAGATAGTCTCATTTTGCCGCAGCACAGATAGATCCTCCACTGCCTCCTCACGGTTTCCTTCACTGCACAGTGGAACACGAATATAAAGAAACCTACAAAACAAGCGTGTTTGTTAATGCCACGTTTCACAGTGCAGTACACTGTTACTTAGAGGAGCATTTAAAAACCAATTAGAGAAAAAGATGCGATTGTATTTTTGTTGTTAAAATGAGAGAAGAGGATGACGTCAATAAAAACTGGTTAAAATTGAGGACAAAAGAAAGGAAAACTGCAGAATTACTATGTAAACTGACCAGATTTGAGTGAAATCACCATTATTTCACAAACCAGCTCAGAAAATGTCAGCTCACCTTGCAGGGAGTTACAGATGGCAAAGAGGTACATGAACGCCAGGTTAACGGGCCCCCAGGCAAAAAAGGCAAAGCCCCACGTGAGGCCTAGCAGGATGGTTATCCCCAACACACTGCGCACATCCTGCAGTGTGCTGCGGTGCTGGAGATTTTGAGGGTTTTGTTTTTTTATCCGGCACAGCTGGACCATAACTACAATAAACATGATGAAGTTAAATATAAAAATGACGCAGAAATAGGCCACCACTGCCACGTAGAAGGCGATGTCATTTTTCAGCCAGCAGCTGTGGGAGAGTCGGAGGAGAATTAAAGGTTGTTCTGAGGTTTTATATCATGGATTTTATGTAGGATAATGTGCAATAATGAGATTACAAATAAAGTACTCACAACTCATCAGTAGTGCCATCACTAAACCTTCCATAGGAAATGAGACCGTAGTTGTTTTTGTCAATTGCAATGACAATAATGACCACGATCATCGGGATACCCCATCCAGCCAGCGAGAACTTCAGCATGTAGTGCGATACATTGACGTTGAAGACTTTCACAAGTGCCACGTACATGTGGACGGCCTCGAGACCCATCCATGTGAAGGCAGCTAGCAAGAAGTAGTGAAGGAACCAGGCAGTGGAAATGCAAAGGCCCACGGCGTCTGGGTAGAGCGCCAGCCAGGCGTCCACCAGGAAGACCAGATTCAGCAGGAGCAGCGCAAAGCACAGCTGGATCAGGATTTTGGATGGGATGTCTTTGCGCAACTTGCTGTTTAGGCGAAATTATGAAGACAACATGTAAAAAATACCTCAGCGAGCAAAAAATAAATAAATAAAAAAATTCATAGAGCTTTAGCAATAAGTAATGAATAACAGATCTAGATCATCTATTTTCTGGATTTCTATACGTACCCAAAGGCCAAGTAGGTGAGGATGGTGACAGCCAGGAAGATAGCAGAGATTCCACAGCCAATGTATGTGATAAAGGTAAGGATGGTGCTCTGGACACGACTGGTTATAGGCTGCCTGGAGAGGTCCTTTATGAAGGAGATGCCCCCCAAAAGTGTTATTATTCTAATGAATAATAACCAAACATGACAACATACATGACAAAATGTATTTTGGTGATCTTACCAGCAGGATGGCAAAACTGGTTAAATGGTTGCAGCCACAAATTGTCTCACTGTCCGTGCTATTTTGGACAGAACAGCCATTTGAACTCCAGCCACCCGATCCATCTGTGGGCAGAAAACAAACACGACTCGTGTTTTTACACGTCTGTTTGTGTTCACTGAAGCTCTTAACTCATGGCTGGACAACTTACCATTTAATGCAAAGTCCCAGAAAACACACGTTGCCACAAAATTTGCCTGTAATTTGAGAAAAAGAGTTTATCATCTTTAATTGCACATGATAGTTTTCTCTCTATCTCTCTCTCTCTGTTAAGGATGTGTTGCTTTTACAGCATGTTTGTGGCCTATTGCTCCTACATTTAACCACACACACATGTGTAGCTCGGTCGTATAGCTCCGGCATGTGTGCGCTGCTACAAACTGGCTTGGTTTGTCTGGTTATACCTGTAGCCGAAGCCCTTAGGCAATGCTTCCTCCAGAAGTAAATTTCTCTGTGAGGACACAACCATTTCCTTTTAATTTGCCTTTAAATGACAGTTGGTGAAACCAGGCTTACCGGAATAGGCTCTTGGTTTTTTAGGGTGATTATAACATTGTCTCGGAGTCCTGTGATTGACAGGTTGGCGACACTTGCTCCTAGGATCCCGCTGTTAAGCCTGCGTACTCCCAGGGATTTGTCCTGTGTAGCCATTTAGAGACAACAAAACAAGTTTGTAAAGAGTGTGTAAGTATCAGATTTAAAACACTACATTAAAAATAATGTAAGTTGGCGTTTTTGTTAGTGGTGAATAAGAAGGGGGCTGCTGGTTGAACTGTCAGACCTGGAATACGGTGCTCTTCTGGTAGAAATTGAACTGAACTCTGGAGACTTGCTGCTGTTCCTGAGATGTGAGATTCTGAGTGAGAGAGGCAGGCAGCGTGACGGAGCCCTGAGGGATCGAGGAGTTTGTTGTCACGCTCCTTCTCAGTCTGGGATTCCCACGGACCTGTAACACATATGGGCCTCAAGCTTAACAGACTCGATCATCCGAGAGTTGTTTTTTTTTTTTGTTTTTTTTTTTTGTTTGGGTTTTTTTTACCCTGTTTTCTATTTGGGGCAACTGGCGTCTCTCTACTAGAGATCACTATTTGGAGGAGCAGCTTTGTTCTTCCAAATAGTGGCAAAAATGGCTGCTTATTCTTCAAAACATTTAGTATTACACCCACATTCACAAGTGTAATCCAGGGATTTACTGAAAAATCATGTCATGTCATTGTGAGGAAAAGAAACTGTCAGAATTTCTGACCTAGATCACCTGGTTGTGTTTTTAAAAGAAAAACAAGTCACACGATTAAACCAATTTGTTGTATTTTATGAATTGATCCTGTTTTTGACTGAACCACTTTACTCTGAAAAGCTGAAATAAATAAATGTCGTTTTAAATTTAGTTTAATCTGAACTACACATGCAAATACACAAAATACACAAAATCTGAGTTAGTATATTCTTCTTCTTCTTTTAAATATGCCAATTACAACCTAAAACAATTACTCCAACCTCCCTATTAAAATAATCATAAAAAATTTAATCGACAGTAAAAAGGAACTAAATATCTTCTACAGGCTTCTCTAGACAAAGCTGGAAATGCTGTGTTATATGAGACACAAAGCACTTGTACAAAAGTGAAAGTTATTCTTCCCTACCTCCACATTGGTGGGGCTTGAGATGGAAAAAGTTGTTTTCTGAAAGTTGGCGCCATCTGCTGGTTTCACTGACAGAGCAACAGCCGGGGACAAAATGGTCTGAGCCGTCCCTCCAACAACCAGCTTGAGCCCCACTGTATCAACGATCCCTATTATCCTGGTGAGAATAAATGAATAAATAATAGTACGTGTCATTTCTTTAATTACAACAAGAAGCAATATTACTGGTTAAAAAAAAATGAAAATAAGAGTTGTAATTGAGGTGTTTTGTCCTCCTATGGATGGAAGAGGAAAACTGGGCTTTTGTTGGTGTTCTTTAGAGCCCATATCTGGTTATTGTTGTGAGTAAAATAAAAATAAAAACAGTATGGATCAAATGCATTGTCCACCCCATGAAATAATAATGTGAAAAGACCACAATAAATAAATAAATCTGTAACCTGTTGGAGGACTGTGACAGCACAGATGGAGAAGCACCCAGGAGATTGCTGACAATGTTGACTGATGTGTTCCCCAGCCCTATGCTGACATTTGGGCCTGATAACAGAGCCTCCAGCTTAGACACCAGCTGATTCACCTGGCTGGAGTTCAGTTTGGACACGTCTTTCGTCTCGTCAAGCAGTGCGTTGGCTTGGGCCTCAGCTGCTGTCAACACAATTTGACGAGACAGTGACGCTATGATAAGGAAAGCATTGCCACAGAGATGTGCACGCAACTGAAGTGATCACAAACCTGACGAATTTGTTGTTGTACTTCCAGTTGTCGTCACAGAAGTGTTCGGATTTGTGGTGGCTGTAGTAACGGTGAGTGTAGGAGACTTGGTTGTAGTTGTGTTACCCGTACTTGAGTTATTAGCGGTAGTGATAGCTGTAGTTGTAGTAGTGTTGACTGTTGCTGGCACTGAGACATTAGCAGCACTGGTGGTGGTGGTTAGATTCACTCCTTGTGTTGTATTCAGCGGCATTGAAGTTGCATTTACAGCAATTGTAGTGCTATTAGCAGAGCTGGTGGTAGTGGCAGTGCTGTTGTTGGTGGTGCTGGTGGCAGTGCTGTTTGGTTGCACGGTTGTCACATTTGGGCTGGTTGTGGTGGTAGACACGTTTTGAAGATCACAACTGTCCTGCAGCTGCATAACCACATTGTTTTGTTTTTGACTATTAAAAAGAAATAAAGAAGTAACATTTTACTTTGGATCCTTTTGATCTGTTGCAGCACATTTTGTATAAATGTGGTTAGTGTGCAGGATATTAAGGTCATACAAACCAAGTGAGGTTGCTAGACTTTGCTGCAGCACAGAAATCTGCAGGCTTTATGTCCGTGCTGACCCATGTGAACTCAGACTGCAGGCTGACATTGGCTTGTAAATTTCCACAAATTGCTGTGGAAACACAAAAGCACCAATGAGAAGCTTTGCACAAGCTTTGCACAAGTCGTCACTTATTTTTTTGACCGCTTGAGCTGATATTTCAGTCCTCATCTTGTTTTATTTTGGTTAGTATACACACCCGCTCGGATCACATGCCCGCTGAAACTGATTTGTTCCTTAGACTGAAGCAGATACACCACAGCATTTGCTACATCACAGACGGGGAACTCACGGGCAAAGGCCAGAATCACGCTACAGCTTTGAAGGCTATAACGGAAAAAACAAAAAGACAACAACAACAATTTTAGCCTAGTGTTCAAATGCAACAGATGCATCAGCGAGATTTAATGTGAGTTTTAGACAAAAGTTCTAACATAGCTGGACTCACTTTGTTGACGTGCTTGCACATGCCACGTTTGCGTCCTGTGTAGAAATGTCAGTTTTAGAAAAATAACTTTAAATGATCGTAATAAAGGAAACTACTAAAACATTTTTAATGTGTTAATATAATAATAACACATGAAATGCAAATTCCTTTGGACATAAACTATATTTTTCCTGTGTGATGCCATTATATGGTGAGTTTCTTGTCATGTGAAACTGGAGTATTTTTGGGGTAAAAGTCAGTAATGTTCAAAAATTCATTACTGACAAAATGACATCTCTACAGCTGATATCTTCAAAAATGAACAACTCAAAAGATGTTAATCTAGATGAATAGATTGAATCTCCTTTAAGTCAAATAAAGAAATTAAATTCAGTTTAATTGATTTTTTTAAGGTTATCTTTTTCCCTAATGCAACCTAAATGCCTTACTTACATTTTGAAAACTTGCTTTTGCCCTAAATCATCATAACAGAGATAGAAAAACATGAAGGCAATAATATCATAATTTGGTGGTTGAATACCTTGTACTCAGATGCAGTAATGGACACTGGACATGGACTTCTGCAAGGGAATATTACAAGATTGTTATTATTTTTTGTATTTTACATGTGATAAAAAGTTATTTATTTATTTAAAAACTGGTGACAAAAAACAAAACTTACTCTACACTTGGAGAGCAAGGTAGAAGCTGTCGCAGCTGAGAAATTTGTTAAAGTTGAAGATATTAATGATTCATTGATGCTCCAAGAATTTATTCATATGATTTTTACATTAATGATTTGTTTATTTATATGTATTTGTGTTCTGTGTGAATGGAAGATTACCAGGTTGGTGACATTTAAATAGTTTATATTGGGATCTTGTATGGAAATGTTAAAAGTGTAGTATGCATCTAAGAAACAAAGAAACAAAAAAAAGGAAAGATAATCAAGTCACCACGCTTTCAGACTGTGTGATTTACATCATAATGCAAATGGTTTTGATAGGTGACACTAACCTGATCCACTGCAGTAGTCGGAGCAGTTGCAGTTGCTCGTGGTGATGTTGCCTGAAACAAAGTCAAAGCATGATGGTTTACAGTGTGGATCGAATCAAGGCACCTTCAAGACTCTACTTTTACACTTTAAGGGAAAAATACATTTAGAAAAAATATTTAGAAGAATCTTGTGCATTTTGCTTTTTTACAATCTTATTTGTTCAGTTTTTAATTGTCTGTGTTGCAAGTATGAAGCAACCCCGAGCTGCTGGCTAACCTGGCATGCAATCAAAGGCTTAATGAGTTTCCTTATGTTTCCAGCTATTATGATAAGCTAAATTAACCAGATGCTTTGTACAGAACAGGGTTTTTAACCATTTTCTATTTTTAGGCATCTGCTAAAACACTCACAGAACAATTAATCCTATATAATCCTCAAATGCTCTGTAGCGTGTCCACACGATTTGATATCCAGGTATAATGTTAACTGTAACTGAGACTTAATTAATATTATTCTTTTGAAATGTGTGTTTCCTGACATGCCCTGAAGTACTTCCTGGTGTCTTTTAACACAAGTGTGTTGCTTCATCAGGTTTCAGTAGCAGTAACAGTCTAATTCATGTATTGATGCAATGATGTTGTTTGTTTGTTTTCATGGTTGGTCCATTTAAACTGAGCTTAACTATGCTTACATTGAATAGTTTGGAGCTCACCTGCACTGCAGTTAGTTGAATTACTTGGTGGAACCACATATGCAGCTGCAGACTCATTACTGTAAAAAACAAACAAACAAACATGAAATTTCACAAAACTAAAGTATGAATTTAAAAAGTATAATTTATCTTTGATTAATCAGTTAACATTTAGCACTTGGGAAAGCACAGACTGCCCGTACTGAGGATCTTACCATGCTGCGTTGTCTTGACCAGTGTAAATGCAGCTGTTTTCTACTGTGCTGCTGTTATTGCACACATTTTGAAGCTGACCTGTTAAGCGACACAGAGGATTTATTACATTGTTACTTTTATAACATCCTGCAAACGTATCAGGTAGGTAACTATGCATCACTCACCCACTCTATCTGCCTTTTTCCCCAGCACGTAAAAATCAGATGAAGTGTTAGTGGCTGCGCAGAGAGTGCGGAGGATACAACATGAAGACACCGCCTGACTCAGCTTCAGCGTCACAGAGCACGTGGTGTTTCTGCAGCATAAGATCAGTGTTAATGTAGGGATCATGAGATAAGCTTATTTCAATGACTTGAATGTCTTTACTTCACTTACCTTATTTCAGTTTTTGTCACGCATGACACTTCCATTCCCTGGTAAAACACAAATCAGGCTAAATTCAAGTGATCTTTTTCATTTACAGAAACCTACAGACACAATTATGTGCTCACTCACTTGAAATAGGCCCGTTGTATTTATGACATTAGTGTTCGAACTGAAAAGTAAATGGAGATAAGGTTAATGGGTGTCAGGACTAACTGATATGATTCGTCATCTCAGTGGAATTAGGACTGATTGTGCAACTGCTCATATGATCTCCAGCTTTATGAAAAAGTCAAACAAGCGTTGCTTATTTTGCTTAATGCTTATTCAAGGGGATTCAAGAGGGGGGAAATATTGGAAATTCAGTGTGCAGGCATCTCATTAGCTGCAACTTTTGGCTGCTGTCAGCAAAGGAAATAATCAAAGTTAAAACTAAACTAAAACTAAAGTAAAAGCAGATGTGAAAAAAACTTTTTGTTAACAATAATAAACTATAACATGACTAGAATAAAAGTAAAAAATGTGAAAAAATGAAAAACTAGCTGAAAAGATTTTGTTAACTTGGAAATCGAACTAAAATAAAATAAAAAATCTTAGTTTGAGCTTTTTTTTAGTTTGGTAAAAATGTTAAACTAAGAATGAAATTAATAAAAACTAAACTAAAACAAAATATTTTTACAAAAACTAAACTGAAATGAAAAAACAAAGAAACTAAGTGAAACTAAACTGATTTAAAACAAAAAGTCGAAAATGAAATAACAATAAAAACACATTTTAAAAATACAAAACTACAATAACTCTGAATGTAATCTCACCTTAAATGATAAACGTAACAAATCTTCACAGTGTGGGTTCGACAACACAGTTGCCACAATATATTACAGAAAGTGCTCCATGAAAATTCATAATCTCATTTTCCATCTGTTCATTTATTTGATAGAAATAGTTGCACTCATACCTGCTTTGTGTCCCATTTCCACTAACGTCCCGAGCTACACGTATCAAGCTTCTTTTCCGTTTTCTTTTTCTTGCTAATGGTGTTGTAGTGGTTGTGAAGTTGCCTCCCGTTGGTGGTGTTGCTGCTGTAGTAGTCCCGTTGCCTAGTAATGTTGTTGCAGTGGTTGTGAAGTTGCCTCCTGTTGGTGTTGCTGCTGTAGTCGTCCCGTTGCCTTGTAATGTTGTTGCAGTGGTTGTGAAG